CCCCAAAACCCCAAAACCCCAAAACCCCTTTGAGAACTCAAAATGCTGAAAAGATAGAACTCTAATAAATTAAAACACTTATTTTGCATTCTTCTTTTTCTTAACGCTAGCTGCTTTTCTGGGGGATTTCTCTCTTCTCTTCTTTGGACTTCTTCTTGTGTTCTAAAAATGAGCTGAAAGAGCTGTACCGAGTTTATCATGCTGAGTTTGTTGATCATGTTCTCCATAGACTTGTTCATTCCAGTATTAAGGTCCTTATACGGGTTTTCTAATAAGTCTTCTAGCTCACTCATTCCATATCCTACATAATATGTTACTAATCTATACCTTTGGCTGTTTTTATCTTCTCCTTGAGCTGTTCTTTGATGAACTTGATCTTCTCATTCTCCTCAATTTTTAAACTGAGGATCTTCTTTCGCTGCTCTTGAATATTTTGGGATTTAGATCTCTCTTCTTGAATCCTTTCAAATTCTTTTATTTTCTGGTATTCCCTGACCTTTTTCAGCCTCTTAGCTTCGTTAAGCCTCTTGTCTCTCTTAAGAGACTCAAACTCAGCAAGAATCCTGGACTCTTCATTCCGATGCTTCAGGAGTTTCTCAGTATGCCTATCTTTCTCCCTGAGCTTCCGAAGGGAGTTGGATTTCTCCTTTTCCTTTTCTTCCTCTAGTAACTTCCTGCGTTGCTCCATTCTTCGACTAGAAATAAAATTTATCCCAAATTTCTACCTGAAAACCTACCTTTGGAAGCTATGAAACTTGCGCTTTTTATCTATCTCCTTCTGCATGTTCTGCTTATGGATTTTAATACGGGATTCAAACTTGAGCTCTTTCTCACGAAGCTCCTTGAGCCTCTGGTTCAACATGCCATCGCCTCTTCCTTTAGCGTTATTGTGCTCGAGCTCTTTAAGTTTAGATCTTTGGGAGGCAATCTTCTCTTTCTCTTTTTGGATCAGCTTAATGCGGTTGTACTTCTCAACAATCATTTTCTGCTTCTCTTCCCATGACTTCTCCTGTGCCTTTAGGTTAGATTTAACTCGCTTATTGGCCTCTTCAAGCTTTTTATGAATGCTGAGTTTATTTAAGCAGCTGTTCGTGATCTTTCTTATGCTTCATTTTCTCAAATTGGAGCTCTGCTTTCTGAATCTTACGTTCGAATGATTCCCTACGAATCTCTTCAGCCTGTTGTTTCTGTAACTTCAGGCTGGTTATATATTCCTGTAGCTCATTTTCACGTTTAAGTCTGAGTATTTCTTTGCTATTTTTGCCTCATAATTTTGGTCTGATCCTCATATTCCTTGTTTATTAGGTCTTTATTTTTCCTTCTTGATGCATTCTTGCTTATACTTCTTCAAGGAAAGCTCCTTCTCCCTCTGAATTCGCTCACGCTCTTTATTGCGCATAGCCAGAATTTTCATTTTGTGTTCAAGCTTGGCTTCTTCGAGGCTCTTCTTCTGCCGAGCATCTTGGTCGCTCCAGGCAGCTTTCCTTTGAGCTCGAATGATATCTTCTTGTTCTTCCTGGATCGCCTTTTTGACAACTTGCTTAGCTATAGCCTTGTTCTTGGTCTGTAGCATCTTGAATTGCTTTGCTTCGTCTTTTAGCTGAGCCTCAATAGCTATCTTATTTATATTTTATTTTTCTTGCTAGTCAAAGACTGGCTGACTGCATTCGGGATCCTCTTTGGAGCAGGGCCTAACTTTCCTCTGTATTTCACCTTCTTCTGAGAGTTTGCTCTACTTTTGACATTAATTTTTCTTCTTTTCATGCAAAATTATCTGTGTTTCTCTCTTAACATTTCTGACTTTTTCTCTTCTGTTTTCCTCATAATCCTTATACCTGAGTCGCATAACAGCAGGAGTTGCCTTCATGTCAGCTTCTTTCTGAATATACTCTTCTTCTCTAAGATACTGAAGCTCTTGAGGGTCATAACCTTGCCTCTTGATAGCCTCCAGAGTTCTGGGACTCTTCAAGTCAAGGGCTTTGCTACTTTTGGGAGGTTCTCCTCTCTTGATCCTCTTTTTATTAGCCATTTCAATATTATTTTGCAATATTGGGGTTTTGGGGTTTTGGGGTTTTGGGG